TTAGGCTGTGATGTGAAAAGAGCATCTGAAAATAAAGATGTGAGCTGCATTGTAGCACCTCGGCTTGAATGTGTGGCACTGAAAGAATAAAACATGAAGAAAAAACTCTTCCCTTCTTCCGTCATCGCTTTGAGATCAATGGCTGGGATCAAATAGGAATGTGATCCAGTCGCACACTTGTTTGTTTTTGGAATTAACTCAAACTCCTAATTTGCTATTCTTGGATACTTTTAATGACGACGGCGGTAAACAGCTCCAGCAACCAAGAAAAAGCCAATTATAACTTTATCAGCACAATCTGAGTGGAGAAGTGGAACTGTGTATCTCCAAAAAAGACAAAAAAATACCTTGATCTACCAGGGAAAAACTACAGTTTTTTTTCTCTTCTTCTTCCAAAGGACTGTTTCCTTTCAGCGTGCTTGTCAACACGTTGGTTTTACCAACACGAGCACAGTCTCTCTGAGATCGCTATGATTTATTAATGAGAGAGGGAAAATTGGAGAATATATATTTTTTTACTTTATTTCCTCTAATAATATCATATTGTTGTTTTTTTTTGTCTGATAAAGGAACAAAATGTTTCTCGGTCTACTTTAAAAAAAAAGTAAAAAGAATAAAGAAAATTACAGAATTATCAAAGGCAGAAGCTGAAGTGACGTTCAGGAGACAAGCTCAGGAAGAAGTTGGAAAAAATAAGATGAAAGTAAATTAAAATAAAAATGAAAAACCAACAGTAATTTGTCTGTTTCCGCTGTGATCAGTTGACTATTATAATATGTCTGTTTGTTTGTGTCTATAATAAAGAGAAACAAAACATCAAATGCAGCTGTTTTTAAAACAACAAAACCACGTTGTTGTGTTTTTTTACCTGGTCTAATTCACCAGTTTGGATTCTGTTTTCCATAACTTTGGTAATAATCCCATCATCAAATGATGTTTTGGGTAATTACCTGGATATTAGCTGGACTTATTTAACTATCTGTTGTTGTTAGCAGCAGCAGCACAGACGGAACTTTGTTCTGCTGCCTTTTCTACAATCATGGATCCATGACAAACGTTGGTAAATGGAGAGTGAAGTTAGTCTCATCCAGATGAAAGTGTCTGATGTGAAGGAAAAGTTAGAGCACTTCCTGTCAAAGATGAAACTTAAAAACTCAAGTGTAGGGTTTTGTAGTTAAACTATGGATATAAAACGTATAAAAAACTTTTATAACATGGACTAAAACACATACGAAAAATCTAAATGTGCATTTTTAAATTCAAGCTTTGTGCATTTTCTGTTTGCATCTGATAAAAGTTGAGCGGAGTGAAATAATTCTGAGTATTTTCTGCTGAAATGACCTGATTCAACACAGACCACTCTGGTAGAGTTGGTGTTATTTGCTCAATAATTCAAAAAAAAAAAAAAAAAAAAAAAAGAAATCCTTTGATGTAACTACACATTACTCCAGTCACATGACCAAGACGCAGGATGTCTGAATCACGCCACTGTGACTGCTACATCCTTTCTTCACCCATTACCCAATTACCCCCCACTCCCGTTTAGACCCTTCCTCTCATCCTGGACTGAACGGAACTACTAGTGGGGGGGCTAATTCAGGACAACTGTGAAATCTGAAGCTGCTAAAAGCCCGGCCACTGGTCAGAGCAGAGTGAAGTAATCCAGTCCACATGGGCTTCACAGACAGCTGCTCTGTGATTGGATGGATTTCCTGAACTTTGTTTAAATCAACATTTAAGAAAGGGGGCGGAGGGACAAGGGGGGGGGGGGGGGGGGGGGGGAGGGGGGGGGGGGGAAAAAAAAAAAAAAACAGTCCAAATGTAGTCACTCAGAGAGAGTCAGAAAATTCTAAGACAAATGTTCTTCAGATGTTTGTGGGTTAAATAGTTCCTAGAACTGAATAAAAAAAACAGTTTTTGTCTCTTTTTCCTTAGAACTTTTTGACTTCCGTACATATCGTATGCTAAGCAGCAGATGTTTTTACTACAACATGTTTGGACAGCTTTATTTACAGGAAGTGAGAATTCAGTTGAAATGGGCACAAAACTAATATTATTATTATTAATGTTTTATGTCATTTTTATGTTTGTATTGACGTTAAAAATGTGGTTATTTGCTCAATAATTCAAAAAAAAAAAAAAAAAATTTGAATGTAGTTCTAGGGCAGATACTGGATCAGTACCAAGCTGTGGGTCATTTGGTTCCAGGGTTTTTTTTTTTTCCAGGTTCCACTTTACTCAATCCCCCGACACATGTGACACTAACGGACTTTGAAGAAGAAAGCAGGGAGTGGCACTGAACCCAAAGAACACCGTCCCCACAGTTAAGAACAGAGGCAGCAGTGTAAGGCTGTGAGGATTAACTAGAATGTTCTTTTTGTGCGGTTTGATAAACACGTGCGTCTAAAGTCATCTTTAAATAAAAACGTGTTACGCCCAAAAAAAAAACTCAAACACTGGGCTGCGTTTGTGCAGTAATACATTTGTCCTCGACCGTTGGGCCTTCAAAGCCGGGCTAATCATTAGTTTTCCCGTCTTTGAAATTCTGTTTGACAGTGAATAAATCTTGTGAAGTAGCCGGTGTTACAGTGTGTGAATTAGAGGAACATGAAAAGAGAGGGTTTTATCAGCTGAGCAGCGGCGCAGCCTCAGACTCCGAGCGTTAATCAAGAATCCTCCGACGGCCTCCGTCTCACAAACTGCACAATGCCTCCAACATCTCCCTGTGTTTGTGTGAGTGAGAGTGTGTGTGTAAACACAAACATCAAATGGCAAGTGGCACGTCCTTATCACTAACAAGCAAACTAACAAGAGACCTGGAATTCCACTCAATTAGTACCTGCTCGCTTCCTTATTAATCTATTGGCCCCGGTGAAGAGATGAGAGGAGACGGGAACGAAAAGAAAAGAAAACACACACACACACACACACACATATATAACAACAATTTGTTAGGATACATATATTAATGCAGACAAAGCTTCCTGTTTCAGGGTGTGTAATTTGACATGATGTATACGCTCTGTTCTGTCATTAGTCAGGGGGAAAAATGTGAGAAAGGATCAAAGTGGAGAGCGACTGGTCGGACACGTCGTTCATCACACGGCAAAGACGGAGGCTTTTCTCTCTGCTAACACACACAGAAAACACACAAAAGCCCTGACTTTTTATCATTATTTTTATGACAAACTCAGTTTGCAGTTTAATTTAGGACTCCAGTCCCCGGGTGCAGCAGGGAAGAAGCCAAAGCAGGCAGACAGGTCTTAAATAAACGGATAAATGCAGAGGTTTTTTTATATCTATATACAGTAGTCTGTAAATGAATATGCATATTTTTACTGTCCTTGTATTCAAAGGAAAGATGTTGTTTTTTTAACGGAATGTTTCACACTGCCAGTGTTTTATCTTCTGTGTGAACGGGGTCTCAAACTTAAATTAGCTCAGGGTTAATTGGAGGACCTCAAGGACAGAATTTAATTATTGTTGACTTCTGGTCTGCGGCGGGCTGTAACGGGGTTGTAGGTAATTAGTCCAATTCTCATTTCCTGTGGTCTGGACCATCCGTTCCCACAGAGCAAGACTCTGAGCAAACTGAAACCTCGACACTTACACTTTCTCCACTGTTTGGACGTGAGCTGACCTTGGATTGGCCTTGAGTAGATGCGTTTGGACAGTGGGTAGAAAAGGTTTTGTTTTTCAGTGCTCTACATTTTTAAAGGTAGTCAGTTCAATTTAAAACAAAATGTTATAAAATATGTTTAGAGGATGATCCCTCCTCCACGTTTTGAGAACTCTGTATTTGTGTATTTACATCCATACAGTATTAAAGACTTTACCTTGACGTTGTGGGAAGAAAAAAACGAGGTTCACTGGGTTTGACTTTGAAATCTACTACATATTTGGTAAATGATATCGTTTATAATATGTATGTTATAGATGTTATACATTTGTCACGGCCTTAAAACCAGACCCTGTGGATCCCATGCTGTCACGTCCTCTGTCTGATTCCTTCATCTTATGCCAAGGTCACAGCTCAGTGCTGACAAATACTGTTCCCATGGTAATGTATCCCCTCAGTAGTTTTGGGCCCAACCCCCCCTTTTTTCCCTCCTTATTCTGTTTGAAGGATGTTTTATGTCATGTGTTTGTTTTGGTGTGAAAAATCTATAGTGTAGTGTAGAATATTCAGAGTGAGTAATACGCTCTGTTATTTCTGTTTTTTTTTCTTTTTTCTTTAAACTCCGATGAGTCATCGCCAGGCTGTCTCTCTCTCTCTCTCTCTCTCTCTCTCTGTGTGTGTGTGTGTGTGTAATTGTGTGTCTTCTTTCTGTCTTTTTTTTTTCTTCTTCTTCTTCTTCTGTTTACGGATATTTCTGCGGGTGTGTGTTTTGTGTTTTGTGTTTTGTGTGTGTGTGTGTGTGTGTGTGTGTGGTGGACATAAAACACAGTGTTTATGGAACTGAGGCTGGAAGAGGTGAAATAAACTTCTGTGTTTGCCATTTGAAATACAATAATAATAATAATAATAATAATAATAATAATGGCTAAGAAGCTGCCGGAAGGTGTGTGTGTGTGTGTGTGTGTGTGTCGGTGTGTGTGAGGACATTTCCAGTTGTGCACGGGGACATTTTGGACAGTCCTCTTAATTTCAGACTGGACTATAATATAAGGATTCAGGGTTCAGGTTTTTAATGGTCCGTGTCAGCCATGATTGGACGAAGGAAAAAAAAGAAAAAAAAAAAACCAGAAGTGTGTGTGTGTTTGTGTGTGCACCTGTACTTGTGGGGACATTTTTGAAGATACTATTGTTGCTGGGACACTTGTGTCTTTGTGGGGACATTTTGCAGTGAGTGAAAGTATATTGAATCAGGGTCAGATTAAGGGTCAGATTAAGGATTAGGATTAGGTCATATATTTGTGATAATTAAAGTTATTTACAGGAACTGTGTCCTGTCTGTGTGAGACACCTGTATGTGTGTGTGTGTGTGTGTGTCTCGTACCACGTCGCTGGGCAGGTTGTGCAGGTCGTCAAACGGACTCTCCAGGGTGTTGTTGTCCACGTTCAGAATGACCACGTCCTCCAGTGATCGGCTCTGTACTCTCTGAAACAGTAGAAGGATTTTTACTGCACTGGTACTTGTTGGTCTGTAAAAAACTACTGACACATTTGTTTGTGAAAAACATTAACCCTAAGAGCTGTGGTTTGCAACGGCGTGAGCTAGCATGCTAGTTACGTGCTAACGTTCGTTTATAATGTCTATAATGTACTGTTAACCGTGTTAGCCAGCTGTTAGCTTAGCGTGGCTAACGCTATATTAGGGCTATTTTTGCTCTGTTTCATTATTTTCTGTTTTTATGGCTTTTTATATTCTTTTAAATATATTATGAATTACATTTTTACTCCTCAACATCGACCTGTAATCTGACTTTGATCTGCTGAAGTTTTTTTTTTTTTTTTACACAGATGTGAAGACAGTTCTCAAACTGACCCTCAGCTGTGTTTTATTTCTAGCCGTGAGCTAGCATGCTATTTACGTGCTAATGTTTGTTTATCTTTTTTCCTCCTTTATACTATTTAGGTTGAAGCCATTTTTCTTGACGGCGTGAGCTAGCACGCTAGTTACGTGCTAACGTTCGTTTATAATGTCTATAATGTACTGTTAACCGTGTTAGCCAGCTGTTAGCTTAGCGTGGCTAACGCTATATTAGGGCTTTTTTTCATTATTTTCTGTTTTTATGGCTTTTTATATTCTTTTAAATATATTATGAATTACATTTTTACTCCTCAACATCGACCTGTAATCTGACTTTGATCTGCTGAAGTTTTTTTTTTTTTTTACACTGATGTGAAGACAGTTCTCAAAACTGACCCTCAGCTGTGTTTTATTTCTGCAGATGTGGAGACAGTTTTTAGTCCTTAAAGATACAGCACTGAAATCGAAGCAGGATTTCGAGCTCATATTTGCGTCCAGTTTTACAGAGCAGATATTTCACACATTCATCATTAATATTTACAATTAAAAAGAACGCTTTTATTTTCCTTTTCTTTCTAGTCTCTATCTTGAATCTGTGATCTGGGTGGTTGGTTTCACCAGCAAAGAAAGTCACACATTTCCTGAACCAGGAGTTGGAGGAAAAAAAACGTTGCAGTCACATTTAAAACACACACACACACACACACGTGCTGTCGTCAGGCTTTTCTTCAAGATTAACGTTGGAAAAATGATGCATAGGAAGAAATATCAGAGCATCTTTAGTGTAACACCAGAAATGAAGAATGGGAGAGCGGGGAATCATTTGGTCTGTGCACACACTTTTTCCACCGCACCAAAACCTCATGCATCAACGGCGGCGCCGTGATGCTGCGCCGTGTGCATCCTGATGGCGACAAATTCAACAATTATTTCAGTGTGGTACAGGATGCAGGCAGGTGTGTGGGGCTGGTGGTGACGGTGGTGGGGGGGAGGGGGGGAGGAGACAGCAATAGTGTGTGTGTGAATTTCTAGTTTGTCACTTTTGTGACAGCCTGTGCAGTTGAGGCTCACATGCTGATCTGGACTAATTATGTAGTGGCGGAAAAGGGGTCTGTCACGGATGCAGAGTGTGATAAATACTGCCACTGCTGCAACTGTCAGACAAATACCTCTCACACACACACACACACACACATGCACGCACACACACACACACACGCATCATAACATATGCATGCACATACACTCCCATTCGAGCACTTACACACAGTGCTTTCAACTAGCATTCACACACA